GTATGGCAGCAAGTCAACTATGAAGTTCGCATGGAATGTTAGCTCATCAGCGTATCAATTTGTTCTTTCAAACAAACCAGATAGAAAGACAAGGAGCCAATGCATGTGTGTGCCAGTCATTGTACTAGGAGGCTACTAGTGTCTACAACAACTGTGAGGAAGATATTATGATTTCCACTTTAAGGGTGAAATGGAAGATGAGAGGAGAACATTCAGCATCACCTGACTGAAGATCATAAGTTGAATTTGACTCAGTGCAGGACTTCTGATTTTTCCATTATACCACTATATCACGTTGCTTCTATTTGAGATACTGATGATAGTTTGTAGAAATAAAGGCCAGATGACTGTGCCTACAACTCATTATGAAACTTTCCTTTGTGGGACTACAGACTTAAACTACTATATCCTTAATTTCTGTGTTCAGTTATACTTTCAACTTAATATAAATGTAGGTAAATTATCAATAAATCAAGAAATTTCTTGGTCTAACTCAAATTCTCAGACTGGGCCTATGCAATTTTGATGCAGTCTGTACCAATACCCCTGCTATTCACATCAAAATTGATCATAGAGAGGCGCCACATCCAAGATGGCCATGGTGACTGCCCCCTCTGGGGAGAGACCTTCCAAAGACAGGAGATGGCCTTCCTCCTGCAGAGCCCTTGCCCTCCCTGAAATGGTATGGCAAGTGAACACTGAACCCTGCTCAGCCCCAGATGTGCAGAGGGCAGGCCGGCTTCCTGCTCCCCCGAGGCAGGGCTGGTCTGAGCATCTGGGCATGTGAGCTCACCGACGGCATGGGAGCCTTGGCAGAGGCAGGCCACAGCAGGTGGATGGCAGAGTGGAGCAGCGGCTTTTGTTAAGTCCTGAACATTATTTCAGCGCTGCTCTTTAGATTTAAGCTCCCGCAGTTCTTTCCATAATAGCCGAGAGAAATAAAAACACTGCCTCCACTCTCCTTTCTGCCTCCCTCACACATGCCACACACACCTACCTCCTCCTCCCCTGGCTGTGGCATTCTGAATGCCTGTCCTCCGGGCCTGGCCCCCACACCCACAGGATTGTTCATCCTTTCTCCTGGGGCTGGAGGGCTGCTGTCAGAGTTCAGCTGGGATTTGGACAGCAGGCCAGCCAGGTCCCATGGTGACCTTCCTGGACTTATTGTCTGCACTTGCGGAAGGTGACAGGTGCACATGGGGGCAGTGTGCAGAGAATCAATCCTTATTTGTACCAGCTCATCGCACACTGGGCAGAATCTTCAGCTTCCTGATGATGAAAGGTTTATGAAATACAATTCTGGCTGCCCTCCCTTCAGAAGTAAAAGACCTCATCTGTTTCCCTTCCTCACTTCTTATGGCCCTTCCTTCTTTATCTGCACACAGAAGAATCATTTCTATAGTAAGTTTCTCAGAACTTCAAGAAGAGTGGATGGGACAGACTACCATTCTGCATAGAATATGAATTCCCTTTCCTGATATTAATTTTGCCTTGGGCCATTTATCCTTCTCCGAAAAACAGCTGACCCATGAACCAGGAAATAAATGGCACACAGCAGGAGAATGGCTGACCCAAGGGGCAGTATGAGTCTTGAAGACCTGATGAGAAGAAGTACTTGAGACTTCCAACTCAGAGGAAGGAGCTCTGATTGTTGAGTAAGGAACTGCCATTTAAAAGCGTTCCTTCCAATCACAGCTTTCTCCAATCAGAGGTTCACTACTCATTGCCTACTTCTAGTCACAGAAGTCCCCAAACATAGGCACAGGCCACTCCAAGATGGAAGCCCCAGGCTACTCCCTGTGTAGGGCTGTTGCAGCAATGGTGCTTACAGCTTTAGGCCTGGTAGACCCTGAGACTTGAGTGGAAAGTGCATAGGAAGAAAGCTTCCTCTATCTGTGTGACCCATTTCATTCAGTGAGGAATGGGCCAGGGTGAACAAAATTCTCCCATAAATAGCCCAGGATCAGCAATCTGTAATTACAACGATGAGCTCTGAATGATCCAACTGGTCTGTTCTGGTGACACTGAGCTAAGCCCCATGACAAAGGAAAGGAAACAATGCCTCCTCCAGCAGGAAGTTAACTGTCTACTTTTTCAAAACCCGAAGGCCACTGGGAAATTTTACTAGTTGTGGTAAAATCAAGCATTGAAAGAGATGTAGGTCTCTGGATAGTTCAGCATTTAGCAGCACTCAGAGCTCAAATTAGACTTTTGCTTCTGTAGTCCCTGGGGGGGGGGCGGGGGGGTTGTCTCTGTGAATGCACAAAGAACCATTCCGAAACTGCTCTGTCCAAGAGGCTCCTTTCCTAAGCACAGATGGTTTCTCCCAATGACATAGGGCCCACATGAGTCTCAATTTGATTCAAATAAAAAATAAAGGATAATTAGGGGATGTGATGTGTGGCTATGGTTGGATAAGGGGTTATGGTTGGATGGAGGTGGGACAACGCCACTGAAGTCCCATAGCCTCTAGGGGGCAGAGCTGAGATTTGAGCCCAGGAAGAGGCAGCTTTGGTTCCTGTGCTCAGGCAGAAAGTTAAAGGGAAAAAAAGAAAAAGTTACATAGAGGACAATTAATGCCATTACGTTACTTGTGGGCAGAAAATAACTACTGAGGATCAGACTTCGCCTTACTTTCTTAAATTTCATCCCAGTACGGCAAGGTAAGGTGGAGGATCTCAGACAGATGTTTAGGACCCCAAATTTACCAGGCCTATTTCCAATTCTAGCTTTTAAATTCTGAACCTTCTATTTGCATACTCTTCTCTGTGCCTTAAATCTGGTAGTTTCTACCTCTGTCTGAATGCAGATCATGACTTCCATTGCCCCCACAGAACTTGAGAAAACTATCATAAGAAAACAGCAAACTATCACGAGCTGCCGGATAAAGTTAATTTTACATACCAACCACTTCCAAACCAATTAGGTAATAGTAAAAGCAGTATATGGGTTTTCCTGTATTTTACATCAGTATGTGTGCTGTTTTACAGCACATAATATTTTGTAATCTCACATCAATAAATTAGCAAAAGAGATTATATGTAAGAATTATCTGATAGTTCTTTGGGTCCCTTAGCATAGTATATTATACTTGAGAGATAAATGCTTGCATTCAGATCCTGAGTCCTTGTTTTAAGACTTCTGTAGCTGTGGACAACATTGTTTCTGAGCCTCAACACCCTCATCTACACATGAGCACGATAACAGCACTGCTTCATGGGCTGAGGATCTGATGGGAAAAATGCACACAAACACTGTGACTCGTGGCTAGGACATAACAAATGCTCAAGAAATACTGGCTAGGATGACTCATTTCTGACGGTTGTCACATGTATAGCTCTGGACTTAATAGAAACCACTAACTGAATGGACCCATTGTAGTTGAAGGTGGGAACATTTGCAAATGTTAGTGTCTCTGCCTCTGCAGCTTGGGATTGAAGACCATCCACAACCTGTGGATATTATTGTTATTCTGGAGAGAAGGGCAATGTGGTAAAGGAAGCCACTCTTCTGTCCACACTGCTCTGTTATCACCTACTGTCACAGTTGCCCCAAAGCATTTAATTACACATGTCACTATGCTGAGCACTGCACAAAAGACTCATATAAAGATAATATTTATGTCCACTCAGAGTTCACAATATCCAGGAGATTTTGATAGATGTATGAATTAGAACTTAATGGCAGAAGAAAGAAATACCAGGTAATATAAAATACCTTTTAAAATGGAAGAGGACTGAGGAACTATTCCTGTTTCCAGACTTTGTAGACAAGGGGTCAAGGCTGACAGAGGTAAAATGACCTGCCCTCAGTTTGTGTAGTGCTTAACTTCGGGTCCAGGACAGGCCCCCAGAATCCTTCAGCTTGGGGTTGCTGTGCCGCATACCTCTAGAGGGAGCTTCCCGCAGCCAGGTGCAAAACATACTGGGCGGCAGTGCTGATGGACTTGTCCAAAATGGGATTACTGCTTCCGTGCCACCTTTGTGACGACAAATATCAACAGTCGACAAGCGCTGTGGTTCTACTTAGTCTGATACCAAATATTAAAATTTATATGGGAATCATAAGGAAGTATAGTAATTAGCTGTGAAGCCTGGAAGATTTCTCAAAAATGTATTTTGAAGCCTGTTGGGATATGAATTTGTCAGGATTAACAAGGGAAGATTCTGTGAAGAGCTAAGTTTTCCAGAATTTTATTTACATCATATAACTTGCTTCACATAAGAAGGCAAAAATAAGGATCATCAACAACTTCTCAGGCCTTAGAATCAGATCTCTTAAGAAGTCATTATATCCATTCTATTACTGTCTGGTTTTTATTCTTACTTATCACCAAGGAGATGAATGTAACTCTCTGACAATATCTAATAACTACACACAAAGTCTAGTCGGAAAGTCCTTCAGTGTGTCTACCTTAAATCTGTCCTGCTGTAGTTTAAATCATTAATTTCAGAGATTGCAGATTCACTAAGGCATAAGGAATCAACTCACTTTGCTCTCTTTGGGGAAGCTTTTCCATATTTGGACTTAGGACCTGCTCTTCAAATCCCACACACTGTATTCCTTTTCATGGTATCACATCGATGATTTCAAGAAGTAAAGTGAAGGAAAAATAAGAGTGATATAGGTATTCTGAAACAGGAGTGACAGGAGAAGGAAATAGAAAATTATTTATTATTAAGCACAAAGGTTGATGAGGGGAAGAGAAAGAACCTCGTTGTTGAATGATATTTTATTGGAGAGAAAAATAAGAACCAAGCAATGAAATTTGACTCTCACCTTTGCAAGTTTCACTGAGCATGACAATGTCTCTTTAAAATTTCCCCTAATCTGTCTCTGGTTACGGGATTTTTCCAGTGTAAAAGGAATCTGAGTTCAGGAGGCCAGGGAACGCTAGGGGAAGAGGGATTTTCTGATGCTTGGGGGTCTGAGACTGTCAGTTTAAAAAATGGAAGTAATATAGAAGGGGCAAAGTGGCATTTATCATGCTATCTCTCCAGGCTCCTGTCTCTTTAATCAGCTAGCCTGATTTGCCCAGTAAATGATTCCTGAGTGTGTGTGTGCGTGTGTGTGCCCGTGCGCGTGTGTTGCAGCTCTGTCAATCCTTGGATTAGAACCAATGATTGCAGCTTGTAGGAGGGCTGTCCAGGGCCAGATTGTACAACGTGTCTCAGTGCCAGAGTATGAGTGGAGATAATTACGGGGAAGTCACACTCTCTCACACCCGCAGCTTCCTTGTGTCCTTCAGCAAAACAGTGGATTTAAACCTCCTTGTACGAGCTTGAGAGCTGCACAATCTATCAGGAAAAAAAAAAAAAAAAAAAAGAAAGGGAAAAAACTGAACCTGACAAAAAAGAAGAAAAAGAAGAAGAAAAAAAATCATGAAAACCATTCAGGCAAAAATGCACAATTCTATCTCTTGGGCAATCTTCACGGGGCTGGCTGCTCTGTGTCTCTTCCAAGGTAAGCGCTTGCTATTGATTTGGCTACTGTGGATCAGGGATGGTAAGGTGTGCTGTATATGATTCGCAGACTCCCTGAGCCGGCTCTGCTGCGCGGCTTGCAGGTGGAAGAGAGAGCATTTAAACAGCATGGCTGGGACTTCATTCCCCAACCAGGCTGTGAGAATATTGATTGGGTTCTGGCTGCTCCCAGAATAGGAGATGTATATGCATAAAATGAGTCTGCTACTCCTGTTAGGTCCCCACTTAAGTGCTGGGCTGCTGGCTTCCTGTACATTCTTGCACACATACACATCAGAGCACATATGTAAGCCAGGAAAAAATACAGCTGGGGAGGGCAGCGGGGTTGTTAATGTGTTGCTTATGCGACTGAGAAGAAATTACAGGAGGAAACTTTAAATATCGGCCGGTGAACTTGCAAAGCTTCCAAAAGGAGCAAAGGAGAAGATGCAGACTAGAAATAATCAGGGGCTGCCAGTAAGGTGCTGGTCAGTGATCTTGCTTCAAGGGATGAATCAATTTGCGGCAGTGCTGAACAACTGTGTTAGTTCTGAATGCTTTTGGGGGTGTGTGGCAGAGGCTGCAGGGTGGGGGGTGATGCTGGGGGTTACAAGCAGATAAAAGGCAGTGAAAGCAAAGGCTCCAAAATTCAGGAAAGCTGTTCTAAGTTGAAGGGAGAGAGGCACGAAGAGCCGAATGCTAATTTACTGTTTATTTATGGGGCTGGGAAGCCCTGGCAGGACTGCCTTTCAGGGAGAGCTTGCTCTCTGGCTAGGGCTCCTCTGCTGCTTGCTGTGTGGGATTCAGGTGCATTCAGGATCTGCCTCTGCCTTGAGTCCATTTGCTGCGCTGTGTGGCCCCCACCCCTGCCCCAGCCTTCGCATTTCTTCTGGCAGCAGAATTAGATGCTAACCTGCTCCTTTCCACCCACCCTGTCTTTGGGGCTCTGGTCACCGCTTTCATATCACAGGTGCCTGAAGTCATAGGGGCAAGGCAGGCAGAGAAACTTTCCCTAGGTGGTCTAGCGGGGCTCTCCAGGAGGAGCCCGGCCAGAGGAAGGCTGTTTCCTATGCAGTTGTATTCCCAGAGGAAAGTTCCCTCTGTCGGTGAGAAAGGACAGGCGTCCCGCTGCCTCTTTCTCTTCTCTCACTACAACACAGGGCTCTCAGGGTCTTTCGGGGTCTAAGACTGCTCTGACTGACCCCTTCGGAGGTCAGGCTGGGGGAACTACCACTGCCTTCAGCAGATTCGCAGAAGGGAGACAGAAGGGTCCACCCACCCTGGAAAGAATCAATGTGCTTGCACCCTTGGCTGGGGCTCAGAAAGGAAGGTGGGAGCACTAGAGGGACCTGTGTGGGAAGACAAGGAGGCCAGGGTGGTGGGTCTTGTTTGTGTGTGTGTGGGGGGGGTATGCATGATGTCGCCTGCTGGGCCCACCAGGGAGTCTGGTTTCAACTCTCTTTCCTCTCCCCTGGGGCACGGATGGGTATGAGAGTAAAGGAGTCAACTTCCAGGCATCCTTGGCTGACTCCTCTTACATAACCTGGAGAAGCAACAGAATGCGCGTGTGAGCCCCGGGTGAGCAGGGACCTCCCTAACACTCACAGTGGGGAAACTGAGTTCGAGACCAGAAACCTTCAGGGAAAGCATCTTGCAACCTAACAACAGAAATGAAAGCTAACTGGGCCAGGCATGGAGTAAGGAGGCAGAGGAAGGCAGAGGAAAGGTCCAGAGCCCTCAGTAATTGCCATCTGTCCTGAGATCCATGTCTCTTCTATTATAACATCAACCTAGAGATGGTGTCCCAAATTCCTCTGTAAACAGCCCCATTGGCTGCATTCCAGGAGCCCCAGGGCCATACTGAATTTACATATAAATTAACATGTGTGATTTTTTTCATCAGAAATAAATGCAGGGAAGCACAATATTTGTTCATACTTTGAAGCATGCCTGAATACATGAGAAGAAATTGGTGATGCAATTTTCCCCAGGGTGAAATCTGGTTTTGTGGTCTTCTTCCTATCTTGGGGTGGGGGTAGTAGTGAGGAATGGTCATATTCTACCAAATCCTGAATTTCTCAAGGAGACCGATGCCTTTATTTGTGCCAGCCACTTCCAGTCAGCTGTGAATAGGCTGCGATGTGTCATAGTAGAATAAGACTGCCCAATTTTAAGGCAGGATGACCCCCAAGGACCCCCATAGCACACACTAGTGGGATGTAGCAAAGGTGCTGTCTATTTTCTCTTTCAGGAGAAGGAATAAAAGTCTGCCATCTATCTCTTATCAAACTTGCAGAATTACCAAGGTAGCCCAGGTCTTGCCTGCAATAATCCACCCCTATTGCACTGACCCACTAGGACTAGTTAGAATGCAGTACACATTGAAATGCAATTTTTTCTTGTCTTCTGTTTTTGTTTTAAACTGGCTCTTTCTGGGACTACATCTCCCTCAGTTTTCTGCCTCATAAAGGTTTGTAGTGCTATTGGCATGTTATAGACCCTTCGGAGACCTTCTCTTCCTACCCCACCCCAACTGGCAATGGAGATGGGACTTAGGACAGGAGGGAATCAGCACTGATTAGTGTGGATGTCATTGGGAGGGGGTGATTAGCTCCCTGGAGCTCTGGCCCTTAGATTCACAGGGTTGATTAACTGGAGGCCCCTCTTTCCTGGGAGCAGAGGGAGAAGCTAGCTGGGGAGCTGTCCTTCTATCACATCTCCCACCTTCTGTTCTGCCACTGAGAGGCTCTGGAGGCAAGGGCTGAGTGTGCTGCAGATTTTCTCTTTTGAGAAACCTAAAAATCAACCTTCCCTCCTGCCTCCTTGGAAGAATCATTGTTTCTTTCAACACCTTCCCATTAGCTTGGTCAGATACCTCCTATACCTTTCTATTTTTCAATCCTCCCTCCCTATCTCACATCAACTTAGCTGCTGGCTAGAGACACAGATGGGGGGAGAAGGGGAAGGAGGCCCAGCTAAGTTCAAATTCTCCTTAGCTCAGTGCCAAGGCCATGGGTACCCTTTAGCGGGTTCCTGCCATTCACATGGGTGCCCATAGCAGCGCAAGTGAGACAGTGTTTCTGAGACTTGAGGGATCATCATTTTGGGGCCTGACATAGGCATTGTGGGTACTTGAAAGTAGAGGTAAAAACAGGGGGAGGGGCTCACAAAGTGGTACCTGGCTGCCCAACTGGTAAGGTAAGACACGCAGAGCATACCGCAGTGCAGCTCTCCTCCCTCCGGCCTGCTGGACAGGACCCAATGGCAGTGCTGGGCCTTGGGTGTTTGACCGGTGTACCAGCAGGTCTTACTGCACAAAGGCCATCCTTGGAATTGTAGTTTTAGTTACCAGGTGCACAGCCTGGTTCTGGTACTGATTTTTTTTGTTGTTTGTTTTTGGTTGTTATTCTTTTAAAGTCAAGTATAAGTGCAATAACCCCTCTTGATCAGCTGTGATGTATGGCCCCTGACTTCTGGTCCTTCTTTGTAAACTTCATCTACAGCATTCATTAAGGAGTCCTGAAAAGGGACTTTAAATGTCTCTCTTGGCTCCCTGAGGGAGGTGCTCTATCTAGACTACCTTCTAGCAATTCCCAGGTGACCTCTGCTCTCCACGAATGTAGTGTGGTAGAGCCCTACGGGGCCATATCACGGGTGGCCAAACAAACCAGTGTTATTTTTAGCCACAGTTTATCCTTTGGGGTGAAGTGAGATCATAGTATCCCCAGGGGTGGCAGAATTTGTGAATCCAATGGGAAATATGATGGTGCCCTATGTGAGAAATACACACTGGGAAGATTTTCAGTTCTCTTGCTGTCCATTCAAGGTGGAAACACAGCCTGGGTGGGACCAGTAGATGTGGGATCTGGCTCTTTTCCAACTTTTGTTTTATTTTGGTGTGGAACTCATGGCCTGTTTCTGCCCACAATTGGAATGCAAAAGAAGAAAGTGAAATCGCTTTCTATCTGACCTTAGCTGAGGTCCTACAGATGCTTAACTAGTCCATGTGTATGGCCTCCGGGTATCAACCCAGCTCTAGGCCTCTAAGCATAGCTCAGGAGGAACGTGTGTATATCTGAGCTCCAGGTTTTCTGTGTTGTCTATAGGGAGAAATCTGGGCCTCTGTGAGCTTGTCGCCCTACCTGCCCTCCAGGCTGGGGAGCGACTCCCCTGGGTGTTGTAAGGACTCATTAAAGCTTGTAATACTCCAAACATGTGGTGCTAAGTGGAACTCCATGCTGAGACGGGTGTATTTATGCAGTTTACTTCCTTTCTGCTCTATTGGCTTGTTACATGTTTACTTTATGTTTGTAGTCATTTGAAATTCAATAAAAACAAATTAAACATACAAAGTGAAAACTTGCAAACACAAGGTAGTCAGTGGTGCTGGGATTGGGCAGGGGATCATCCAAGTGGTTCTCCCCAGCGCCCTCGGCCCTGGAGGTAGATGATCCTTCCACTGCAGAAGGCCTGGCAGAGGGATGGGGGACCTTCAGGGGTCACTTGCAGGGAGTGTGAGCCCTATCCTTTTGCACAAGGAAGCTTCCCATGGGGGTGAAAGCCCACAGTGTGCATGGCAGGGAGGGGGAGCCTTGTGGAGGATGGGCGCTAGGGGAAAGAGTGTCTGGAGAGAAAAAATAAATAGCTCTAATCTGGATTAGCCAAAGAGTGGAAAAAACAAAAGCTGTCTCTGCTGCTTTGGCAATGACTGTGAGCAACCCCTGAGAGCTTTGTATTTTCTTTTATGTATGTATGTATGTATGTATGTATGTATGTGTTCATTTATTTATACGTGGTGTGGTCTTCCCTGTTTATATTTAAGGATATGTGGGTTCATCTACTTTCCATTTCAGTCTCCTTCTAGCCTTCCTCTCTTCCTGCTCTCTCTCTCCCTCCTTCTCAGTCCTTTCCATTTCTCTTTTGGTCTTTTCCTTTTTCTTTCTTCCTTTCGTTTACCCTGCTCTTCTGTGGGAAAAATAATTGATCAGTTGACAGATCTAG